GAGAGGATTGAGTCAGACCTACATGACAAGAGAGAGCCAAATATAGTGGAACCATTTAAATGGTACTGGTCTCCATGGGATTCCCTGTATCTTCACGATGGCCTGTTGCATTGAAAGTGGGAGAGTCCCGATGGAATATATGTAGTCTGTCAAATGATGCTGCCAAAATCACCAAGCCAAGGTAGTTCACATTGAAAATTTAGCGCCATACCGTGGTCCAGATCCTCTCCATTGGTTCCAACCAGGTCCCAGTAATCAAGTTATTCGGGGTGAATAACTAGAGAGGAGGGAGAAATGTTACGCAGCACCATGCAGCGTGCTGCGGTCGTCATAAGTAAATGTTCGAGTAAAAGAAGAAAGGGGAATATTTGAAAATTGTCATTCCATGTCAGGAAAAATCTAGACAGTTCGGGAAGGTTCGAGAAGGTTAAAGTAAGCTACATATGTCGGTGATAGACGTTATACGTTAATTTTATTAGTTGTATAGTTATTTAGTTGAAATAAATTGAGATACCAAAAAGACACCAATATTTTGCAAAAATTAGAATGGTGACAAATTTGTCGTAACTAATTGTCGGTATATTTTTTATTTATTGAGATTAAATATACGTAAAAATGAGTTATTATTGTTTAGATCGATACATAATAGCATTTCTACTTTTATTTCGTTATTATTTACAAATAAATTATACATTTTAATTAAACTATATGAAATCAATTTAATTACGAGTATTTAAAACTAAAATATTGTATGAGGCGATGGAGCCGAGCTAGCTCATGTGGATGTTATGCGAGAGGCCCGAGTTCAAATCTGGCCTGGAGACTAATTAAATTAAAAAAATTTCATTTTTATTTTATAAGTAAACGTCATTAATTATTTTAAAATTAGTAATTTTGTCTAAATGACCTGAAATTTTTTTAAAAGTTTTAGATATTTGTCAGTGGGTCGTAGAAAAAATATACTGTATAAACTACTATTGAATTGCTCTCGAGTTTTATTTTTTCTTTAAGAATACTAATCATGTTTGAGATTATGCGTAATAATTCATTATAAATAAAAAAAAAATCCTTCTTGTAAAACTCTAGTCGTATGTAAAATTTAGTATAGTGAAGCAAAAAAACTAATTTTGCTATGTAAGTTCCATTTCACTGTACAGCAATTTTTTTTTTAATATATCAAAAGGTTTTGTGAAAAAACATTTAGTAACTGTAAGTAAAGCTTCAGTGAATTGATATCATTTTTTTTACAATTTGAATTTTATACAGATGGGTCGAAATATTATGTTTTTGTACTTTTTTATATGTTTTTACAATTTAGAAAAAAGCCAATGAATTGTAACCTTGTTATGGATGACCCTGTATATATATATGAATTTTTTTTTAAATATTATGGGTAGGATTCCATAACAAAACTTTTCTACCGTTTTGATTTGTGAAAAATTGGAGTTACAGGTCAAGGACAGCTCTGCCCATCCTGTAGGTATTTATTTTTAATTTGTAACTCTGAAAAAATAAATTTCCACTGTGTAAAGACTATCCTGAGGACCCTGTAAAATTTAAAACTAATTTTTTAGTTTGAATTATTAATTCTTACTTATTATTCTTTCATAGAATTATAAGATTTTCGGGTATATTATCTAAAATTACACTATTCAAGTTTGTGGCATCTTCAAAATCATTTTTTAGAGTTACTTATAAGTACAAATAAAAGAGAAAACATTTTTATAAAAGTTGTTTTATTTAAAACCAAAAATGCGTTCGTTGGACTAAACATGGAAGCCAGCAACCTGTAGAAAATAATGTAGGGAGCGTCGAAAAGTTTGCTACTAAATCGTTTGAAGCTACATGCCTTATTTGATAGATGTCAGTAAGAGTTCGAAATATATTTGTTTCCCTACTAAATAAAATTGGGGTAAGTATTTTATATGTTTATTATATTTCCTGATTTAAAGTTAAGTTAAAATAATCTAGAACATAAAATCACGATTCAGTTCATGTTTGTTTTGTAAATAATTTATGTAATACTCGTATTTAGGACGTAATAATGATCAAATTGCGCACAGGTAGAAATAAAATATACCAACCAGTTATTATTTTAGTAAGTGCGTATGTATAATAGCTATACAAAGCGAGTTTTGTACTATACTTTTTCTATGATCGTACCTAATATATTAAAAATCTTTTTTCTTTAATATTATCAACAATGTGCCGGGAATAAATGAAATTGAAGCTGTCGTAGAAGGCGTGGTTTAAGGACAGCGTCTCCTAGGAATTTCTGAACAAAATTATGTCACTTTAGATTCAATCAAGGAGGTGCTGTTACCTACCGACTAGAGATTGAATTAGTGCAAATTATTACAGAAATCTTTAAGTAACTATAAATATCGACCGACTAGCTATTAGGGGATATTGTATTATAAACCGGTTTTTAGTAGACTGAGTTCGAAGAATCATAATAATAGTCCTGAACATAAAATCTATTTTTCAATAATTGCCGGGATTTCACCAAATAAAAAAAATTATTTCGCGATTGTGAAAACGGTCCAATCGTTTTATATGCCATTTATAATATTATAAAAATGTTAACTCTAGGACTCATTTTGGAGTATGAGCATACTTTATTTCAATACTTTTATTGTACTGTTTCATAAAATATTACCTACTTATTACATTTTATTTTTATCGAAAATTGACTTTGTTTCCTGGACCAAAGTAAAGAATGTAGATGGTAACAACCAAAACGATATCTTGCCTTACATTAAATATAAATATTTCCTAAAATAAATAATTTGGTTTATATACGGGTAGTAATACGAGGGATGTTTATAATTTCAAGTCACGAATATAGAGTCGTTTCAAAATATATTGCGACAATAATTGCGTCACATTGAGTCGGAGTGGGACGCTTATTGACGTGTTGCAATTCGCAATATATTTTAAAACTATTCTACCTAATTAATAAATTGTGATTTTGAAGTATCGAATGAAAACTATATTCTCATTGGTTAAAGATGGAAGTTTTTGTCATTTGAATGTTCAAGAATATTAATTGTGATTAATTGGTTAAACACCGAAGTTATCTGTTATCTGATGTTGGTACTAACCTAATGTTTTTGGGTAATTTTGACTGTCATTTCCTGTAATTTCCAGACCCGCATAAATATTTATCCTATTAAAGTACAAAAACCCTACAATAGATATTATGAGTAGGTATTTAACATTCATATATCTTATCTTATCTTAGGTAGTTATTTCCCTGATTGTCAATAACACATTACCGTATATCTGTGCCAATATGACGTCAC